GGTTGGTGCATAAACTTGGATTACTGTGATGTTGAAAGGTCTGCCTTGGATTCATATTGAAATCATTCTTGCATTTTTGAGATTGTATTCCAGTACAGCTTTTCCCACTCTTTTGTTGACTTTGAGGGCTACTCCATTTCTTCCATGGGATTCTTGTCCACAACAGTAGATATGGTAATCATTTGAATTGAACTAGCTCATTCCCATCCATTTTAGTTCACTGATGCCCAGGTTGTCAATGTTTATTCTTGCCATCTCCTGTTTGACCACATCCAGCTTACCAAGGTCCATAGATCTTACATTCCAGTTTCCTATGCATTATTTTTCTTTGCAGCATCGGACTTTCCTTTCACTTCCAGGCGGGTCCACAGATGAGCGTCCTTTCAGCTTTGGCCCAACCACTTCATTAGCTTTGGAGCTACCTGTACTTGTCCTCCGCTCTTCCTCAGTAGCATGTTGGATGTATTCTGATCTGAGGGACTTATCTTCCAGCGTCATATCTTTTAGCCTGTTGTTTCTGTTCATGGGGTTTTCTTGGGAAAGATACTGGAGTGGTTTGCCAGTTCCTCCTCCATGTGGAGTGCGTTTAGTCAGAAATCTCCACTATGACCTGTCCGTCTTGGGTGTCCCTGCACAGTATAGCCCATAGCTTCTCTGAATTACTCAAGCCCCTTCACCATGACAAGGCAGCAATCCGTGAAGGAGCTTCCACTCTGTACAAGATATGAACTAGGAGTCACAAAGCAGTGCTGGCCATTATAGAATTTATAATTTTATTATAAAGATTTATCAGGATTTTGATGAAAACATCAACTTCTGTCATTGAGAAAAATTTCTGAGAAACAATTTAAATAGCTCTTCCTCTTATGCCAGTTGAGAAAGAGGTAGCAGAGGGAACAGGAGGAAAGAGGTGGCAACAGAGTCTTAATAAGCCTTGCATTATTCAATTTAAAAATTATGTCAGGCACAGAAGACTACAATGTTATTAAGTCTGGTAATGATTTTAAGAGCTTTGTCCCAATCCCCATGACACTAATAAATCAGAAGTATCCTAAGTTCCTCTATCCATAAAACTACCACTGTGAGCTTAATTGAAATAAATACTGTTTAATTCTTTCAACAGTTGGAATAAAAGGAAAAGAACTGTGGATAGTAGAACTTTGTTACACACATTTCTGGAATTAGAAATGCATTGTACTTGTTCCTATGTAGCTAATAACAGACCAGTAGTGCATAAAGTGCGAGTTATAGGACAGTCAATATTGACATGGATAGCCTTTTCAGTGTGAGTATAATTCAGTGTGAAATTTACGTCTGGTTTCTTGTCCATAGGATCTTCAATAGTTTCCCTTTCATCCCAGTCTTCAGGTTTGGGCATATTGGGATCTACTATCTTCCTTGGAAGCAGAAAATCCCAGTCATCTTCTAGGTGACCAGCTTCAGCCACATAATTGTCAATCTTAACTTCATATGTTAAATCCGGACGTACTATTAGAGTATATAGATGGGTAAAGTCATCGGTCTCGACAAAAAGAAAGAAGAAAGCATTAATACAGGTCAACAAAGAAATATTTTCGAGTGTTTCAAATGGTCTGTTGAAATTCATGTAAACTAAAAAAAAGATGGGCCACCTGATTCTATTCCATCACTGGCTAAGAAATGAGGAGACTCAGAAAATTGATAGGGTGTTTTTAATTGGGGGGGGGGAAGCTATGTCTCTTGATGCATCGGTGGTGTGTGTTGGAAGAGAAATATATCCTATTTAGGTGGCAAGAGTGGCAGCCCTAATACTCCGCGATCATCAAGATGGCTCTGAATTTTTTCTGGTTTCCAGTTATTTAACTAAGCCCTAAAGCAGGGCTAGAGAGCCTGAGGGCCTCCAAATGTTGCTGAATTCGAATTTCCCTTCAGCCACCGACAACCGGGCCAGTAACAATCCATCAACATATGGAGAGTGGAAAATGTTCTACTAGTGGCCTAAAAAACAACTGTTCTATTTTAAAGACTAGTGCAACCCTAATAATATTTATTCAGAATTGAACAAATCTAAGCAGGTAATGTCTTTATTACACCTCTAAAAAGGAAACATTCATGTTCATTTTTTTTAGTAATCTACTAAAGGTGTCACCTGCTCTTGCATCTCTGTAATTTTAAGGACCACCCAAACTTTTCCTAATTTTTTCCAGAATTAAGCATCGTTACATTCAGTGGGATTTACTCTCTTCCATGTATAAGATTATAGTCTAAGCAAATAACTGATTATATACCACCTGCTCTCCAATGTAACTGTATAAAGGCTACCTCCACCTTTAAAATGCGGATTGTTAAGAAAAAACATATTGCTAACCTTTTTACAGTACTTTTTACAACCACTCCAGTGTTGCCCAATACCCTCACTAGCATTTTCAGTTCGGTTTTACAACCTCTGTGTTTTAGTTGTATGATTGTTAAATCTGTCAGTTTTATGACCTCTTTATTAGTATCTGAAACTGTTTCACATCCTCCTAGCCTCTTATGAAACAGGAGACAGAGAAAACAAGACAGTGCTGAGTGAGCTCTGTATTAAAAATGTAGGGAATCTAAATTCTGTAGCAAGTTCATCTGAATGTCACAACCTGTATACACTTGCAGAAGATGGCTGCAAGGGTGGCGGACAGGCTCAGAATTTTAACATGAACTGCAGTGGTCAATAGAGCTCGACTAATAACTGTTTGCTTTATGGCCATTGATGATGAACCAGTTAAATAATAAGTGTGGGGGTTTGCTACATAGCTTGCTCGCAGCTTCTAACACTTGAAGCTGGCTGTAACCTACAAAAGTCTGTCAAATACTGTATTGAATTAATTTACAATAAACTATTTGACTCACGTATTTATAAAAGAACTTTCACTGCTAATTGCATGTGGAAAACAGAATTATAAACCTCTATGGCAATATATAAATTAAGATAGTAATAACTACAAGATACCAAGACAACACTAATTATACCTCACATGTGATGTTTTTTTTAATCAGGTAGTAGTTATCTTTGTAGTTGAAGATAACCTGCACTATCTTTTTGTCTTCACCACATATATCAGGACCTAAAAGAAAGCAATAACAACTTGAAAGTCCAATTTATTTGGGTCAGAGTTGTACCTGCACAAATATAAGTGACCCAGTTTAATGACACTTTCAAATAAGATTTAACGTAGATGCTATCTGTTAAAAGTATTTTAATTTTATACTTCCTTCTCTCCAAAGATATACATATTATTTCTTTCTAAAGTTTATATCCATATACAGTATATACATATAATGTATAAAGCAAACATACTGTATATAACAACCACTATGCAATGTTATAAAGTTTAGCAGAACAAGAAGTTAGAAAATTGTATACCAAATGTTCATGTCAGTATGTTAATGTGATTTATACTATAGAGGTTATTTTTATTAGCTGAAACATGTATTACTACATTATTGATTAACCATTAATTAATGATGACAAATTATAATGTGGCCACCTATGAAATACTAGAAGAGTTATTTACTAACAGTTTACAATGGTGCCTCGCTTGACGACGTTAATCCATTCCGATAAAATTGCTGTTAAGCGAAATCGTTGTCAAGCAAAATTAAAAAATCCACTAGAATGCATTAGAAACCAGTTAATGCGTTCTAATGGGTGAAATACCTCATTGTCCAGCGAAGATCCTGCATAGGGTGGCCATTTTCTGGTGCCTGTAAAGCGAGCAATCAGTGCTGAAAACAGTGGGGAGCCATTTTGCACAGCAGGAGACCATTTTGCAACCCGCCGATCAGCTGTTTTAAAATCATCGTTAAGCGAACAATCGGTTCCCGAAGCACGGAACCGATCGTCATCAAGCGAAAAAAGCCCATAGGAACATTGTTTTGTGATCGCAATAGCGACCACAAAAACCATCGTGAAGCGGATTCGTCGTTTAACAAGGTATTGTTTAGAATTGTTATAATTGTACAGTGGTGCCTCACACAACGATGTTAATTGGTTCCAAAAAAATCAACGTTGTGTGAAACATCGTTCTGTGAAACACCATTTCACATAGGAATGCATTGAAAACCGGTTAATCCGTTCCAATTGGAACGGATTGCCATCGTTCAGTGAAAATCCCCATAGGAAACATCGTTGAGTGAAACAATGTTTCCTATATTGGAATGTATTGAAGCCGACTCAATACATTTCAATGCCTTTGCGAAGTCCTTTTTCGCTCCTGTAAAAGTGTCTTACAATGTTTGGAAGCTGTTTTAAATGATTGCAATGGTTAGTCCACCTCCTGAAACCTATGCAAACTGATTTTGGTGTTGTTCTGACACTTCGTTAATTTATGATGATTTTTTGAATTATCTCCATAGGAAACCATTGGATGGTCTGTCTAATGGTTTCCAATGGAAAAAACAAAAAATCATCATAAATTAACAAGTGTCAGAACAACACCAAAATCAGTTTGCATAGGTTTCAGGAGGTGGACTAACCATTGCAATCATTTAAAACAGCGTCCAAACATTGTAAGACACTTTTACAGGAGCGAAAAGGGAGATCGTTGTGTGAAAATCCCCCATAGGAAACATCGCTGTGTGAGGCAGCAAATTTAACAGAAAAAGGCATCGTTGTGTGAATTCATCGTTGTGTGAGGCACTCGTTGTGCGAGGCACCACTGTATTTTTATATATGTTATATTGATGTGTTTTTATTTATGTAAGCCACCCCGAGTACACGTTGTCTAGAGGGGCGGGGTAAAAAGCGAATAAATAAATAAATGAATGAATGAATGAATGAATGAATGAATGAATGAATGAATGAATGAATGAATGAATGAATAATTAAGTGAGTGAGGCACCACTGTAGCTTATATACTAAACCAATGTAAACCTTTTTTCGCATAATCTTGAAAAGGGTTTCATAGAACAGATTAAGAGCTGCCAAAATTATTAATGTACGAACAATCACACATATAATAAAATGCTTTAAGACGCTAGGGAATTTTTCAGTTTAGGGAGAAAAGGGTGAAGGGCAATATGTGATAGGGATTTATGAGTAATATAGAAAGTTGATTTGGGATCAATGAACAACATGAACCGACAGCAAGCTGAGAATGCACAAAAGCAGTACCATTTCATAAGACATATGGTTAACTCAATGACTAACCAGAACAAGATATGCAGATGGTCATTATGTATGTTGGATTTAAAAAATACCTAGATCTATCTTCTGATGTCTAGTAGCCTCTCCAAAGTAAGCATGCTTGCTAACAGAGAATGTTAAGCACATAAAAAGGGGAAGGATGTTGATTTTATACACTGTTCACAGAACTCCTAGAGCCACCATTGTCTGAAACAAAACATTGGGCTATATTTTACCCTCACAGACCGAGAACAAGATCCAACAATATACTTCTGTAGTCAATGGCTAAAAAAAGAGAGGCTTCTCTCTTTTCTCCCTCTTGCTGAAGCCCTCCATGCGAACCAGCTCCAGAGGATTTCCTAGTCTGAACAGGACTTTGGGATGAGGAGGGGATGAGGAGGGGGTGCCAACAAAAACAGTGGGATCCAATAGGAATACAGCATTTGCTCCTGCTTTTTGATGTATCTATCATCAGTCTGATCCAGAAAATATTTTCCTATAATATTTTTCACCAAAATAAACAACGATAGAGACCCAAGAAATATGGAAAAGTTTTTTAAACCCCTAGGCTCAATCCCCCCAATTTGCAGAACACTGTGATTATTTGAATAAAACCAATATACATTTAAGAGAACTTACCAAACATAATGTAGTACTTTGAGTCTTCATTCATAATCTCTTGACTCAAGTCTTCAGGGAAAAGTTTAACATAGGCACCACCACAATCAACACGTTGGTCATATTTTACTGTATACTGAAGCACTAAGGTCTGACCTTCGTTGTTGAATGGTCGAAACCTTGCTGACACAGCATAATACTTAGTGTCTTGAGTTGTCTGCAGACCTATAAAGAAAATTGTACTCAAACAACAAAAAGCTTCTGTCTGAATGTTTATTGTACTCTGATCTGCACATGCACACAGTTTTCTTGGACATTTGATTGTCGCTGGTTCTACTAGGTTGTGGTTACTACCTCTTACTAGGTATGAGGAGAATGTCAGTGACAGTCTGGTCAGGCAGTAGACCTTGTTCCCTTCAAGCTGAATTTCTGCTGTCCAGCTACCCAGTAGACATAGGAAAAACTATGCTAAATTTTGAACTTGAGGGGGTAAAAAAGTGAGGGAAAATAACAGAGCCTAGAAGGAAAGTAAGGACCCCTGAGAGAGAAAGGAAGTTAGGGCAGGTGGAGAGATGTGAATGTGGGGTTGGAAAAGGAGAAAAAGACAGTTGCTGCCATCACTAACTCAGAATGGGGGAGCAGAAGGAAGAAAAGTAGGGTGATACAGTGGAAGAGCGGTGAGAAGAGTCCTCTTTTATAGAGACAGAGAACCCTGGAACCATACAGCCTCCCCCCCGTTCAGCATCAAATCATTTGTATCAAATTAATTGCATATTAATTTGAAATTTGCTTGGTTTCAAAAAGCACATGCAAGGCAGCACTCAATTTCTCTTTGAGAATAATATAATTTTATACTAGTTGAAAGAGGTACTGATCTCAGCTAGTGTTATGCAAATAATTTGTGGGAAGGGAAGCAAATAAGACCATTCTGCGTATATCACATTTTTCACAGTTTCCTAAGAAAATCAATGCATTCCCTTACCTTTATCTTTTTCTCTATCTCCATAAAATCTTCCTGCTCCTATCCGAAATTTACCATAATCAGTTCTATGCTTAGACTGAATCCATCGTTTCTGCCATCCATCTGAAAAAAGCAATGAGCATTCAATTAAAAAAAAGTTTTAAAAACCCTATTTCATCTGTGAAGCATGATTAATGTTATAGGATATCCCATACAAGTGAGGTGATACCTAAAAAACAGACTTTTTACAACCACATGGAAACAATGAATTTGACAGATGTCTTCTTTAATTTATAAACACAGAATTATACTATAGTACCTATACAACACACCTATATTTTTCTTGATCATATTGATATTTAGAAATTTTTAAAGCAAAAGCAATGTAAATCAATGACTGCAACCCCCTATGAGTATTTCTGATAAAGCTTGAATTACATTTGATTGAAGACAGCCCACTAAGAACAAATCTTACACAGGAAATCTTAGCTATCACAACAGGGTACACTTAATTCTACCTTGAGCTTAAGACAACTGCTCATGGTCCCAAGGGACCCGTAAGTACATGTTGAATCATGCCTAGTCAGTTGCTTCATTTATGTCATGTTTAAACCACTGAATGTAAGACTAAATACTCAAACAAATGGTATAAGAAGACTGATTCAAGTTGCTTTCTACACAGTTTATAAGGTAATCCCAGTGTAAGTAAAAGGCAATGTAAGGTTAGGTCAATCAAGCCAAAATAAGCAACTAGGAATGACAGATCTTCCAAATAAAGTGTCAAGTGCAGCAATCTGATATTACTGTATAATATAAAGAATAAACTGGAAGGAGAGGAAAATATGTTAGAAAGTAGATGACATACAATATTCTCTCATATTTTTGTCTCATTTTCTAAAAAACAAATCTGCAAGATCAAACTAACATCTAGTATTTATTTATGTAGTTATCTTTATTTCCATATATAGCAACATTATAAATAAAACTACAATCTGCAGGAGTGATTAAGAATGTATATGAAGGGAAAAAAGGAAAACCGGTATAAGTAATGCAATTTTCCCTCTTTTTTTGCTTAAAGAACACACCATGAACAACATTTATGTCAAAGTGACAACTATCTTTGGATGTTTCAGGAGAGAAACCGAAAACTTTATTTCTATTCTGCTTTGAAAGCTATTCTGAATTAGCAATTCTTAATATTTAAACAGATGAGAATTGAAACACTATACAGACTGCATTTGATGCATTATATGTGAACTTATGTCCACTCCATTTCCCTCTCAAACATTTATCAAAAACTATATAATACAGCCATCTCAATTCTACTATTCTCAGAAAATGGTCCTCAAATCCAATCTTCTCTCACATTTTTATTTTTAATGAATCTCTATAGTAGTAATAAACAGACATTCAAGTCAGCAGAAGGCGATATCAAACAGGAGCTATTTCACAGTCAATTAGCAATTATTTTTAACTGTACATAATATAAAACTAAAATATGGCTCCTAGAATGAGGGAAACTACATGCATTGAAGGAGTCTTAATAGTCAATAGTTCCATTCCAGTCTAGGTTAGAAATAAACTAAATTTCACTTACCCTCATCATCAAACTCTTCCCTGAAGTATTCTTTTATTACAGTATGTTGCTCCTTCTGTTTTACAGTAGAGCTATCAACATTGCCAGCTAGTTCTCCACATACAGTCCCTATTAAAAAAAATCCTAAGCAAATCAGTTTAATTGTTACTATCATAATAAATTATGTTAGGAGGCTCCTTGAAATTGGACAATAAAAACCTAAGTCAAGTCACGTCGCTTCTAATATCTCTGCTGGTTCCTTAACTAAAAGCTACTATGGCTACCACATGAATGTTAAGGTTGAGAAGATGGAGCCTTCCTATTGGCTATAATCCATATATAATTAAGCTACAGGGACCAATCAAAAGGGACCACGCAATTGGACCAGCACAGAAATTACCTGGAATGTCCCTATGGAAATGGATTTTGCAGGCACAGATGTCCTGAGCTACAGTTGTGTTCAAAATTATTCAGCCCCCACTGAAATTGAATGTTTTGGCCATTTTGACATTGATTTTGATCATTCAGCCATCTTGCTTACATTTACATGAAAGAGGCACTTGTAGGTCAGAGAAATATAACCTTAAGTTTATAATGAAATAACCACAAATGAAACATTTACTACTGTATTACATAAACAATTGATGTTATTTTAGTTGCATTTGGTTCTTTAAAACGTCCTTATAGGATTTCATTCTGAATACAATTCCAAATGTACACTATAGTCCCTAAACCCCTTTACAGCATTGGGGGTTGAATAATTTTGAACACAACTGTAATTCAGATCAGTTCAATGCACTGCCTTCCTACTAAATAAATGTATTGGGAAAAATAATCAGGATTCTTTGAACAGAAATATTTTTCAGGGAAATGCTACAAATGGACTATTTAAAACCTGGAAAGAACTAATGTAAAAGGCCTTTTTAGTTTAAATGTTTTTTCTTTATATATAACTACAATTTTGTACCCTTCGGGAGTTAGTGCTCAGTATAATGTATGTTGAAACTTTTGTATTGTTTATTTATATTGTTCAATTTGTTTGGTCTTTGGTCATAGATTTTAAAAAAAGCTGCTGCCATTAGGAATAGATATTTAATTTTTACATTGTAAACTACAGGCATACCACAAAGAAAATGGGTGGAGAATACTGCTTTTCAGTGGCAGAACAGCTTGATCCAACATAACTAGGAGGGAAGTTATCCCCAGTCCATATTTCCATGCATCCCTACCACCTATAGTGTGTAACATTTTCTTTGCCCCCTCTTTTTTCCTTCTAATTACATTCTACCCGCACGAAGATCCAAATGTAGTCACATTCATTAGATTTCAGTAAAACAGTTCACCTTGTTTGGGAAAATATATTCTATTCACCTCAATCAAAAAGCTGTAATCCAAATGGAAATGTTACAGTTTTCAGACAGGATACCATTCTGAAATCAAAGTAAATGGCTTGCAGGGTTCTATAAAAAACATTAGAAGAATATGACAAAGTTACAAGCTCCAACAAATTACATTGTCAGTTTTGCTGTCTACTCTCCACACAGTTTCAACCAGTTATTAACGTATACACATTACATTTACTTAACTGACAGAATTTTTGAAAGCCCTTGTATGTGGAACCAAAAGAGCAGAAAATCGGTTAGAATTAAATTAAAACACATTTAAGTAATCTTAAGAATCACCATCTGTATAATACTACAGAATTTGCAACATTATCCAATCAAATAAATGAAAACAGACAACTTATAATTGCTTACTATTGCGACTCCTCTACCAGGGTTCCCTCTCTGTAGTCACTCAGCCACACTACTTTTGAGAAATCTAGAGAGGGAGAGCCCAGTGAGGAGTCAGAGGTGGTGAATGCTGTGGAAGAGCTGACTGCCACTGTATCACTCCCAACACACCAGTCTCCCCAGCTTGGCTGTGCGCCAGGGAGTCTACAAACATATCCACACTCACACGCAAAAATTCCCCAAGGCTAGGAACTTAGAGCTAACACAGAAATCTTGCAAGATAGCTGCCAACACTATCTCTGCCTGTTTGGTTAGCTTTCCAGGCAGTCACAAAGAGAAGCATTGGAGCACCCAGCAACAGAATTCCATATTTCACATTTCTCAGGTCCTCAGTTTTTTTTACTAAGCCTCAAACTTTTCCATAGCAATTCCATTCCCATGAGGATTTGCATCCTGTACATATTTACTCAGAGGAAAGCTGCACAAATTCAGTTTTGGCAAAAAAAAGGTGATGGTTGTAGGGACCTAGTGTTCTCCATTTGTCAGAATGAAACAAAGTTGCTTTGAGCGTCATGATCCAGGGACTATAGAGCTAAAGTCTTCAGTCCCTAGCCAAGAGACAAAAGGAATCTGGAAGCCTGCAGCCATTTGATCCCAAGAAAAAAATCCTAGCAAGGGAAAGAACCTGGTCCGATGCATTACCCAAAGGGAATAATTTCCCTAATTCTTACTTGCATTCCCACTTTTGAATTATACTTATTTTTCAATTTCTGCACAGAATGTAAAAAATATTATTTGCTCTACAATACAGTAATAAATTCTGATACTTTCTAACAAACATAGGACTGCAGCCTTAGGAAGAAGCAAGTTTTGCTGAACACACTTTGCATCTAGCTGTTTGGTTTTAACACTGGCACACAAATTGTTACTAATTTCTGTTGCGTACCCCCAGTGATCCCTGTGTGCGTTGCCCCTCACACAAGTTCACCTTCAGATACGACTTGTACCTTTCCACCTTTTCGCTGCCACCAGAGGATATTATCCTCACTATATCAATCAAGAATCTCACACCCTTGCTGCCCAATAAAACAAGATTTATTTAAGGATAAATAAGTGAATCACAGAAGGAAAATCATGGATGTTCTATTATCTTTCATTCAATAACCTTGGATTGGATTATATGTACGATTGCTTGGATTGATTTGCTTTAATCAAGATCTCAATATATTCTGCCAGTCTTTGTACTTCTAGTTCCTTTTAACTCTTTAATATTCTCTAACGAACCAACTGTCCAATATCTTGTCTAACCACTTCACAGTCTTCTCTCTAACAACGCTTCACCATCTTTTCCTCCACTCTCTCACTCACTCTCTGGCACTCCCAGTCCCTTGACTCCCCCCCTCGTGTCCTGTCATAGGCTCCTGCACTGGGGCTCTAAAATGACTGACAGGAGTGACGTGTAGGCTGTCCGCCACAATTTCTAAATAAATTTACTCATAACACACACACACATATATGTAAAATGTAATAATTGCTCATGGAGAATTTCTAAATAAATTTACTCATAACACACATATACGTAAAATGTAATAATTGCTCATGGAGACATAGGTTCCCCTTGACATTTAGTCCAGTCGTGTCCGACTCTAGGGCGCTGTGCTCATTGCCGTCCGTGTCCGACTCTAGGGCGCGGTGCTCATTGTTGTCTCCAAGCCGTAGAGCCAATGTTTGTCCGTAGACAGTTTACGTGGTATCTATTTATCTACTCACATTTAAATGCTTTCAAACTGCTAGGTTGGCAGGAGCTGGGACAAGTGACAGGAGCTCACTCCGTCTCCTGGATTCGATCTTACGACTGCTAGTCTTCTGACCTTGCAGCACAGAGGCTTCTGGGGTTTAACCCACAGCGCCACCATGTCCAGTATGGAGACATACACACCTTGATTCCATACATGTTTACGAAGAATAAAAGTCTGTTTGGTTCAGTGAAATTTGCTTCTAAGTAAATGTACATAAGATTGTCAGTGTCAGTTCTGCAGAAACCAATGTTTACATTCCCATATGTTTCTCCGCTCATCTAGACAAATATCTGGGGAATACATATTGGGCAAAAACATACTCCATAGACAAAGTGAAATCATTACACTGTCTAGATGAGGCTGTAAAATTATTCAGCGACAGATCACAAAATGTTAAGCCCCTCCGTTGTCACATTTAAGAAACTCTGTCGTTAGTTAAAAACTATTTTTAAGTAAATATACACAAATTAAAATCTATTATGAACCTGTAACAGCAGCCAGGGCATTAAGCCCCTTCCAACTCTTGAGGTGACTAACGTCTTCACAGACTATTCCCCGTCGGGTCCCTGTTTTTTTTCCCCCCCTTCGGGAATAAAGGAAAACCGTAGGGCAGGGCTGCCGTTTGGGGCTTTTTAGGGCACCCGGGTCGTCCAACGACACAAACTTCAGCGGCTGCCAGAAGGAGGGTCGAGCAAATCTGGAATCCGCTGCAGCAAAAAACACATGAAAGACAAGCAAGTTTCGGGGGGGGGTGCGGCTGCGCAACTCTGTTGCCGCAAAAACAACAAGGCCTTGTATCCCACGAGGTGGACTAGGAGTTTGTGCGCAAGAGAACTTGGGGGCGTCCCGAGACTCTCCCTTTGGTTGGCATTTCCTACACCCGCGCGGTTCTCACGCGTCCTCTCGGGTCCCGCCTTCTGCCCCGCCCCGCCTACCCAAGACACGCCCCTCTCCCTCCTTATTCGCTCCCTCTCTTGATGATCCCGCAGGTTGTTTTTTTTCCCCTTCCCCCAGCCGCAAAGTCTACTTAGCTCCTCCTCGTCTCGCGCTGCTTCACCCAGGCGGGGCCCATCTATAGAAGTCGCGCGCGCGCGCGCTCCGCTACCCTCCCCTTTTTAAAGCCCCGCTCGCGCACCCGGCGTTCCCTTGCGCGGGCTGTTTGGCAGCTTACCGGCTCCCCAAGATGGCGTCCATTATGGAGGGCCCACTGAGTAAATGGACCAACGTGATGAAAGGCTGGCAGTACCGCTGGTTCGTGCTCGATTACAACGCGGGGCTGCTCTCTTACTATACGGTGAGTATACCAGAGGGAGGGGCCGCCTTAGGACAAACGGAGAGGGGAGGGAGCGCTCTGTCGGCTTGCTGAAACTGGGAGGAGGTGGTGGTGGGTTCTGAGAGAGGGAGTGCCATGGTCTCAGGAAAGCCAATGGGTATGGAGAAAGTCTGCAGGTAGCCAATCAGGAGAGAGTTTCGGAAGATTTATGTGGAAGGGGGCGTGGGGGACCGCAATGGTTAACTTGGCGGCGATTGAAGTAGGGGAAGGGGCAAAACGGGACGGTTGGCCACTTCATGAAAAGAGGTCATGAAGAGTGTGTCAAACATGGAGAAGGTGGGCAAGGGAGCCCCGAGATTTAAAACTGGTTTTCTGGAGGGGCTTTTTGGCACGAGCACAGGTGTTTGATATAGCAAAGGTTGTCAGAATGTGGTTGGTTTTAGACGCGAATCTAATGTTTAGGGCGGTTTTAGAGGTCCTTCCTTTTCAGGGTGGAGAGAAAAAAGGATGTGGCTACAGTTGAGATGTATCCTTCCTCTGTCAGATTGTGACTCCATCTTACTTATATTGACTTGAGAGTAAGCTTCACTGATCTCTGTAGGGCTTGTTTCAGATAAACAAATAGAGAATCGGCCTGCAAGGGCCTGTTCAGTTCATTACCAGGTCTCCTACTATGGCATCATCTTGATCATTCTATAGAACAAGACTGTAATAATAGTGTAAAATTTGTTAGGCAATCTGAGGCAAAATATCTGATCAAAAGCTATGAAGGGTTTCATGGTACCTTAAAACTAACTTATGAGGAGACACAGTCTCTGGAGAAATCAAAAGGATAGTCTCACACAGGGTAGTGTCCTGGCTCCATTACACAAATTATCAACTGAAGTTCCCATACTCCAGGAGTTTTATCTATGCTAATAAGCTTGCCTGGGCAGTCCAGGGGGAAACAAACCTTTGAGGCCATTAAACACCAGCTAACCTCTGCATCAGAAGACCTTTCCTTATACTGTATTATGAAAACAACCAGCTGAAGCAAACCCTTTAAAAACACCGGTCTGTAACATCTACTTAAAGATGCAGAGAGGAATGTCTGAGTTAACTGGGAAAGCAAGATTTTGCAACATTGTTGTTGTTTAGTTGTTAAGTTGTGTCTGACTCTTCGTTACCCCGTGGACCAGAGCAGGCCCACCTGTCTTCCACTAATTCCCAGAGTTGGGTCAAATTCATGTTGTTAGCTTGGGTGGCACTCTCCAACCATCATTGCAACATTGCCCTACCCCAAACCATTTGGGTGTCATTCCAGACTGAACCCTGATCTACAAAAAACAATATCTGAACACTAAACAGAAAGTTGCTATGAGAAATAACATACTTAGGAAACTGGCTGAGTCAGACTGGAGTGTGCACCCACAAACAATAAGAGCAACAACTTTGTCCCTGTTGTTCTCTGCAGCAAATATGTTAGAGCTGCATGGTATAAATCAGCATATGTCAAAACAAGTGGATGTAGTTCTTAATGAATCATTCACTCCCATTAGAAACGTGTATTATTTGTCTGGCATTGCTCCTCTGGAAGTACATCAAGAGGCGCTGGCAAATAATGAACTAAATAAGGTAATATAGCACCAAACCCACCCACTTAATAGACTGATGCAAATATGTTAGAGCTGCATGGTATAAATCAGCATATGTCAAAACAAGTGGATGTAGTTCTTAATGAATCATTCACTCCCATTAGAAACGTGTATTATTTGTCTGGCATTGCTCCTCTGGAAGTACATCAAGAGGCGCTGGCAAATAATGAACTAAATAAGGTAATATAGCACCAAACCCACCCACTTCATAGACTGAATCAATTGTTGAATGGTAAACCAAGACTTTGATCAGTTTCAATTGGCATTAGCAATAGAATGTTAACCTATAGGACTAATGACTATGCATACATTAATATTAGTAATAATTATATGCTGTCAAGGCATTTCCGGTTCATGGTGAACCTTTCTAGGATTTTCTACGTACAGAGTATTCAGAGACAGTTTACCATTCCTTTCTTCTGGAGGCACTCTTGGACAGTGCATTTTACCAAACTTCAGCTTCTAGCTCCACAATCAGGTACCCAACTCCACTGAGCTATTTGTGCAGCTTTTCCGAAACATTTTGCCTTCCCATAACATTTGTGTAGCTGTTTTCATGTCCTCATTATATTGCTCACATCTGCACTGCTTCCAGTTCTTATTCCTCCTTTTTAGTTCAAGTTCTAAATTACAAAGAAAAGTGTTTGTGTATTATATCTTTGGAAATGTCATCCCTCCATCCACCCCACCTTTCTCCTTGAAGAGTACCCAAGGCAGCTTACAACAATGAAAGACAATAGTTAAAATTGAAAACAATGAGTATACAACAGTGGTTAAAATCATCAAAAGACAATTTTTAAAACTATGAAGAATGAATAAGGAGGCATCTTATTATGCAATATTGAGGCAAAGATCAATAAGTATACAATCTGTTTTAAAATGTCACTCAGAAATGGAAAACACAAATCGTACTTTATTGTTTGCTATGCTTATCTTGTGTTTTAATTCCTTTGAGGTCAAGGTGGGATATTTTCTTTTGAGAACAGCCTTGTGAGGTAGGCAGACTAAGAGAGTGAATGGCCAAAGGTCACCCAATAAATTTAGTGGAGGTTTGAAGAAATGTCTCCTGAGTGCTAGTTAAACATTCTAGTTGCTAAACAACATTGGCTTCATGAAAAGATGTTCATGTGTATATATAAAGATATCAGCTGTAATTTCTGTTGTTTCTTAATAAGGTCCTATATCTTGTTTTTGGTTGGGGCAGATGCCATACTTTCAGCTGTTTCTTTAAGGGAACAATGCAGAGTAACTTCAAGATCACTCTTGTTTACATACTGTATTTATAGACTGCCCTTCCACCAATGTCTCTTAAAATAGCTTACAATAAAAACATGGTTCAAACAGATTCATTTCTAAAAATAGATCTAAAAACCAATTGGCAGAAAGTCTAATGAAACACAAGGGAAAAAGGCAATCAAAACAAAGTAGCAAAATTGGGACACACAATTTGTTAGTCTGATTAAAGAATAACCAAGTTTTGCAGGTGTTGGGAGTCAGGTTTCTGTCTCTTTGAGCCCAAGGTATATGTGTGTATTTTGTGCTGTCATACCTGAACAAACTTACAGCGACCCTAATAGGGCTTTCAAGGGAAGTGAAATACAGTATTTAAGGAGTAGTATTACCAGTTCCACTCCCTCAGTCAATTTCCATGGCTGAGCTGGAATTTGAACTCTGTTCTCCAGAGGCCTAGTCCATCACTCTGTCCACTACACCAGGGCTCCCCAACCCCCAGTCCGTGGTGTGGTGCCAGGCCACAAACTTACAGCGACCCTAATAGGGCTTTCAAGGGAAGTGAAATACAGTATTTAAGGAGTAGTATTACCAGTTCCACTCCCTCAGTCAATTTCCATGGCTGAGCTGGAATTTGAACTCTGTTCTCCAGAGGCCTAGTCCATCACTCTGTCCACTACACCAGGGCTCCCCAACCCCCAGTCCGTGGTGTGGTGCCGGGCCGTGGCAGGACCAGGCCATGGAGACATCTCCCACCACCCCCACATACACTCCCCCCATGCATCCCACCTGTACACATGTGCATCCCACCCACTCATGATTGCGCCCAGCCCATTTGCACATGTGTGTGAGTGTACCCCACCCATCCATGAGCGTGGGAGGTTGCCCCTGCACATGGACCCCTACAACCCGTCTGTGGTTCAGAAAAGGTTGGAGACCACTGCGCTACACCACACTCGGAATTCCAAATGCAGAGCCTGCAGAGAATCCCTTAAAATGCCCAAAAGTAAAAAAGCAAAACCAGCAGTAGAGTGAGTCAACTTCAAGTTTGGTTGGGGTTGAGAATGTATTACTATGGTGCAGAAGACTGCAACTTTTATAAAATGAGAATATTACCTGGAGGCTCATAGGAATAATAATTCACCTCTCAGTTTGGAGTTGAGAAAGTTTGGGGCAATGAAACTGTGTAGAGACTCTTGGTGACCAGAGGTACAAAAATACATTGAGGGTACACTTTCACCACCTACATCTAATTGTTAGAGACACATCATGTGAAAACAAGACTCACTGCAAAATATGATTGTGCTGAAACAAGTTGAATGCAACAGGTAAAGAGGATTACTGAATCTAAGATGGATTGACCTTTTTTGGTTCTTTAGTTAGGTTGCCACCTGTACTAGTGGCAGAACATGATAAATGTTTAAGGAGTGACATTTTCATGGAAAGCTATACATTGATCTGAAAAGATATGCTCATTGAAAAGGTTGCCCTCATACAACCAGTGTAAGAAATTTTATAAGGAACAGGTGTCAATCCTGTTTTACAACAGTGTTAAGGACCACTTCCTGCAGGAGAGGAGTAAGAAGTATATGGAATTGCTTTCAAGGTTGTCTAACCATATGCAGGGCCATGAGTATTCCTTCTCAGCTAGGTGGGTGATCCTGTACTAAGTGTCTTGATTTTGGCCCCAGTGGATTTTTCCAAATAGGATCTGTTTAGATTTCAGTATGCTTTCTAATTTCATCTTACATTCTTTAAATGTTGCCAAGTGTGTAATAAAAGGAATACAGTATTTATGTAATGTCATTTGTGAGGGAACTCAAGGCAGCTCACAGTGTTAAAAGAAGTAAAATTAAAAACACAATAAATTACACAATTAAAATCTGTTAAGTGATTAAAACATTTAAAACATAAAAAACAAGCAGTTAATGTAGTGCAAGGATTGGTCTGCTGTAGTTCTCTGGATGATTATGCATTAGATGTCCAAGAGTTTCTGAATCCTGGTAACAAGAGCAAGTAAAATGGTAAGGGGACAAAATCTCTGCAGTGGCTAGGTTTCTGCTGATTGCTTATCTCTCAGTCTCAGTGTTTTTCATTTATAAAAAAGGAATAGAATTCAATTGTCTTCAACCAGATTTTTGTTCTGCTTTGCTGTCA